TTGCTCCTCCTCTGCTGTCAGCAGCTCATGCTCCAAATCTGTGGACCCCAGACAAGGGGGTGGTGCCTCAGCATCGGCAAGACACAAAATCAACTCAAAAATATACTATTAAAACGTGCAAAACCACTCTTGAAGACAATGAATGCAGATGTCTTGGAACATGAGCGTTGGGCCCTGCATAGCATGCAGTAGAGAAACCTCCGAGATGCCCTCATCGTCAAGGAGCAAGCTTTGCTTCAGCTGGAAGAGCGTGGATTTTGGCCTCGGCCCGAACATGACAGTGCCACCTCCACTGCAAGTTCTGCATGAAAGTACCCATCACCGTAGGGAGCAAAGCGCTCTTCTGTTTGCTCAAATCAATACCATGCTGAGAGGAAAGCACCACAACACATGGTTTTGCAATGTTCCTACACAGTTCACATCAATCAGGTGCAAGCTGCGGTTCCACGAAAAGGAAGGGCGGCTTTGCGAAAACAAAATCATCTTCGCCTAACATGTCAAAAAGGCATTGGAAGTCAAAATGCCTTCAAAAGCCTTTAAAGGTTCAAGCAGCAGCATCATCTAAGAAAACAGATTTACATAACATACATACGTATGGACATGATAATGGACATGTATACTAATATACTATAGATGTACATTTACAATGTTTGATGCTTGCCCAGTTGCACGCAAAGCCTTGGTTGTCTCAATCACAGTGGAGAAAAGTTGAAATGCCTTCACAGTCTAAAGAAAAAGAGTAAATAATTAATGTAAGGGCGGACCTTCTTAAAGGGACCCTTGCTTTCTTGGTTTATTGCTTTTCTTCCAACCAACCCCAGTCCTTCACGTGGCAGTGTGACCGGCGTCCAAACTGGCTTTGACTGCAGCCGGGAGCCCTGCAAAGCGTTCGCATGAGACTGTTTGTTCCAACCGACTCCGCCTCTCTTTCTCATCCACATGTTTACCATTCAAAGCAACACTTGCAGGCACCTCGCCTGTCGACTTGGCTCACGGCTCATCCACCGAGCCTCCCATGCAAAATGGATCAAAATGGAAATCACAACAAAAGAAAGCTATCAGTATAGCTTTTGCGAAAGTCTATATAGAATCTAGAGACCGCTTATATAATCACACACATCTAGTGATAGGGCCATGGTCCAAGATTTGGGTACCATCCAGACCCACCGGTACAACAGTAAAACAGACTGAAATGAGTGGGACCATGTGTTCTTTTGAGCATCCAAAAATAGGATGACAAGGAGTTGAAACATAGAAACAAAACCAGGTTGAGAGAGCCAAGGTTTTTTGGTGCTCCGAGGGTTCCAAGCGTTCTCTTCGACAGAGGCCTTGTCGACTCACGAGTCACACACCCACCTCTACCAGTCAGAAGAGCCCTTCATCACCTTCATCTCCCAGTTGTTTAATGTGTGTCCACCTGTTGATGCCTGGACCATTACAGTACTACTTTGGTATGGCATGTCGGACTTTACCAAATCCATTCCAACAGAGTACCGTCATCAGCAAAGAAGGAAGGAGGAAGAACTTCTTGTTTGCCAAGTCAGTTGGGGTAGGAAACAGTGAAGCAATACAATAAATGTTGGTTCAATCGCATAGGAAGTCCACCAGTTCCAAACATGTCCCCTCCTTTGGAAGGCTCGTCAAAGGGGCGGAGCTGCATCGGTCTAAGTGTTTGCGGCTGCCATGACCTTACCAGCATGCACCATGCAGCAAGAGAAATGTATGAAAGAGTATTTTAAGAGAAACTTAGACTGGAGGCAACTCTTGGAAGAGCTTCTCTTAGAAGAAGTAGTAACAAGGGCATCGCTACTAGTGAAAAGGCATTGCTAAGAAGCTACTAGTAACAAGGCCTTCCAAGCATCTGAAACATCCATCCAGTGTCTTCTTTTGAAGATACCTCCGGACCTGCCCTGTCATACACGGTCGTGAGGTCATGACCGAGGTGGAGCTCCGGCGATGAAGCAGAGCCATTCAGCATCGCCGTCGTGAGACGAATCAAACCAATCCCCTGTCATCCTGTGTCTACTTTGTCTACTTTTTTTCATGGAGTAAAAGAAGTTTACAATCTACGTACTGTGTCTACAACGCGTCCACCATTCTGCTTTGACTTGCTCATTTAGGCCCTCGTAGAAGTTGATGTCAGGTAGCAGCTAGAGCTTTCTACTGGCAAAAGCTCAAACAAATCCAAGGTTCTGACCTTGTGTCTGTGTAAGTTGCACTGTGAAGCCAAAGAAAAGCAGGCAAGTTGGATTGTGCCATTGTATCAAAAAGCCAAAGGTCCTCTCTGGACACAAAATTGTAAGCAAGAAATCGGCTGGCTCTTCTGGCCTGCAACTTCTGGAGCTCGGCTTGCAATTGTTTGGTTTCGGTCTGCCAGGTAGGGGCAATCGATTTCTGCAAGGAATCGATGTACAATGTACATTGTTTAAGTGTCCCTAACAATCTAGGAACCATCGCTAGTAAGTTGGAGGCCATCGCTATTACTGTAGTTTCCCTAAAATTCTAGGAACCAAATCACTAGTGCCAGCGCGTCTTCAACAAATCTCCCCCCGCCCTCAGCGTGAACTATCCTGCGTCCTAGGTAGTAGCTTAAGTAGCTAGTAGCTACCTCTTCTACTAGCTACCTCGGCCTACCCCCCCAAGTCCCATGGGCCCACTCACCCCCATGGGCCCCGATGCCAAGTTATCTCACTTGAACTTCGCTACTACCTGTTGGAGGCATATCTGCTGGTTGCAGTCCTTTTCGGTCCTACGCAGTTCAAACACGAGGCGTACAACCAGGTGAGCTCGTATGTACACACTGGAAGAGTGACGAGATGCAGCACGCGAGCCAGTTTCTCTCGCCTCTTCCGTTATTGGGGATCAGCATGGAAAGCCCCCACAATCACCCATGCATTCTGCCACTCTTTATGGTATTGCAACTGTTAAACCAGCTGTCAAACCAAGCCCAACCAGCTAGCTCAAAAGCAATAATATAAGCCTGAAGCCTCTTGCTGAATGATTGTCGGATTGACATCTTTGCAGACTTGTTGAGCACAGATGCATTGGCTTCAAAAACCTTTATCTTACACTTTTTGCAATTCAGTTCAGCTTTGGCAAAACAGGAGTGTCATGAGTCCCACTTTAATCTAGCAGGAAAGGTGAACAAGAACTCCACATTTCCTTCTCAGGCTGGAGTGAGTTTTGCTTGTATTTGGGACATTAATTGATGTCAGGCAAGCGCTTTGATCTAGATCCAAGCCAGTGTTCCAGTGCAGGCACAAAAAGGACACTGAAGTCAGAACAGCAAAACAGCCAAGACTTCAAGTGTGAGGACAAAGCTGAAACTCGAAGCTGTCTCAGCCTCAAGCTTTCTTCGCTTGTTCTGCAAAGTCGCAGTCCTTTGCGAAGGAAGTGCCCAAAACAGCACTTGGGAGCCAACCTGAAAGAGCAAGACTCAAAGAAAACCAAGGGCTCAATATCTTCTCCGAATGACTCAAAAACTTAGGAAAATAATAAGAATGTAAGGACCTAATAGCGATGGCCTCCAACCAATGGCGATGGCCTTTAGTAGCGATGGCCTCCATCTTCTCCCTTTGATAAGGCCCCTTCAAACTGGGCCTTATTATTGCGCAAACCTCCAATAACTCCAATGGTTACGTTGACATAACAGCGGATTGCCTTGTCACTTTGCACCTCATCATCGGCCACTAGACTCTCCACCACATCCTTGACTGCCTTTCAACACTAACACACAGAGTCCACTGATCTTTTTGCTTTGTACCTCCCATATTTAAGCTTGTTTGGTTACTCTATTGTGCAGTTTCTCAGTGTTTTCTGCGTGAAGATCGTCCGTTCTGTAAGCAAAATGTCTCCTAGTGACAGTATTGGCTTGTCATTTGTAACTTTAGACTGCCCTCATAGTGGTACTTTACCCTAGTGTTAGTGGCCTAGAAATTGGAGCTCTGAAGGTTGATTGCCTTCACTGGTGCTTGACTCAGCAAGAAAGCCAGAAATGTGAGTGGCTCTGTTGTAAATTGCTTCGACAGTGAGTAGCATCTGCCCCTAACAAACTCGAGGATCGATCTCATGAACATCAGGCATTTTCTGTTGCTTTCTCTCTCTCTCTCTCTATCTCTCACTCCCTCTCCCTCCCTCCCTCCCTCCCTCCCTCTCTCTCTCTCTCTCTCAAGATCTCCGATATGCATCACAATGCCATGCTCAGACAGAACAATGTCGATCTGGCTACATCGCTACATAAGCCAAGTCATCTGCTGCCATGAACTGTTCTTGAAATCGCAAAGGCTCTAGGCCTGCGGAATGACTCCCTTGGACTTTCCCAACGTTTCCAGCTCCTTCAGAGTGAAAAAAGAGGCCTCGGATGCGATTCCACAGTGAGATTGAAGCAGTGGGCTAGCACATCATCATCTGCTGGCTTACAGTATATAAGTCTAGCTCATAGCTTTGTAAAGGAACACAGAGTTCTGGCTCGCTTCAAGAAAGAGCTTCGTCTTTGGATGGCCTGGCCTCCCCCTGCATCGCAGCCAACAACGTCGCCTTCTTCTCGTCGAAAGACATGCCCTTCCTCACCGAAACAACAAACGTTCATCACGACAATCATCCTCGAAAGCCACGTCATGATGAAATTTCAAAGATTTTGATGGCCCAGCACAAAAGCTGTAAACTCCAGAGCGATAAAGCTAGCAATCCTCTTGGACATGACAGACACGGCGGTGCTCAGAAAGCGATGAGAGTGGAGCCTATCTACCTTGGTGACAAGAAACCAAGTGGCTCTTGCAGTAAAGCGTTGCTATGAGTCAACTGAATTAAACTCTTTTCCAATTGCGCAAAAACGTGACTTCCTTACTCGCAGACAAGGTGCAGCGTGTGCCGACCCGATCTCGTGATCACTCGCACAACTTGAGCCCAAAATCAAGCGATGCAATACATCCACCACAAACCGTATCAGAAACGGCAGAGTCATGCAAGGCACACACGAGATTGCTTGCCAGGCTTCAGACCCAAGAAGCCACCAAAGAGGCTCAGGAAGAAAGCCTGGCGAGTAGAGTCTCTTCCGCTTCAGTTTCAAAAATTGGATACAGCAATTACCTCCCACAAAGACCTTTCAAGGTCGACACATTCACCTTTGCCTAGACCATGCTGCACCAGCAGCCCCGACAAATTCTTTAAAAGGCCAGCAAGCAGTGTCCGAGGATAGAGCCCTTTGCAACGCCTTCAGCTGCGATTTCCGGACTGTGCGGCACTCAGGGTCAGCCCACCCCTCAGAATACAAGTCATGATAACAGCCAAACGAACTCAGGCGGCAGGTGGTTTCAGCGGGTTTCAACTCAATTGATGCTCTTGTTTTCGTGAGGCTCCACTCTCCACTAAGGGGGAAGCAGAATCACATTCGCAAAATGCAACGCCCATGTTGGCCTCGTGACGTCAACAATCAAACATTGACTTGTTCAAACCTGCAATATCATGCAAAAGAGGTCAGACTCTGACAACAGCATCTCCAGGCTTCGCCAGCGACAGCGGAGTCTTCATCCACCTCATCCCACTCCCACCACCACCACCACCACCACCACCGCGGATTCTCTCGCATGGTCTATTTCTCCACAAATCACAAATCCAACACTAGTGCAATTCAAGACTTAGTTCGATTCCATGTTTGGACAGAAGGATTGAACATACCTTTAAACTTTAAACCAAACTGCAGAGACATTTCTGCAGCTCGAGTGGCACCTTCCGATCCTGTTACTTTACCATTCAATTAGCGATTTCGGTGCGTTTTACAAAGCCGAGGGACGGAACACACTGACCATGCCCGGAGCAGACTTGTCGGGTTGAGGCCTGGCAGAGTCTGCAACTTCAGATGTTCACGTTTTCAATGTTTCTATACCTTTTCATACTAGGAACAAGAAGCTACTAGGAACAAAGGGCATCGCTACTAGGAGCAAGGACGCTACTACGGGCTCCTGGCCTTACTACTAGGGACAAGGACGCTACTAGGCAGCCTTGGACATTGTTCAACTAGACACTTCGGGCCACATTTCAATGGGGCTGTGCTTGCGAGTGCCGGTCTGAAAGTGCATGCCTGCGGGTATGCTTTAAAAGCGAGTGGGGCCTTTTCTGACTACCATGGTGATCAGAAAACAACTTGTGTTACAGCTGCCTTGCTTGCGTAAATTGTAGGAAAAAAAGGTAATCAGTACGATATGGCATTGGCTTGGTTGCGTGTGAAGTCAATGCTGCAACTGTGAGCTTAGGTTGAGGTCAGAGAAAGATACCAACAGGGCAAATTGTGCGTGAGTGTATGCTTTGATACAATATCAATAGTATACAAAGGTTGTCAAGGCACTGGGACTGCTTCCCTGAGCAATGCCACGCAAGCACAAAGTAAGCATGCAAGGGTGGCCCCCACACTGCAAGAGTTCAGGATCGCTGCAGATGAAGGCTGTCCAGGGCCAACCTCACCGAATGACAGCAGTCCTTGCACCATCATCAGATTTACAAGGACTCACAGTAACAAGCGCCGGACATGCTCATACTTGATGAGATAGTTAGGCCTAAAATTATCAGTTTACGGCGACACAACACAGGAGAAAGAAAAATTAGGATTAACACCATGACTCAATATGAGGCTGGAACTGCCTGCTCCAATTGGCTCGGTCATGCGTTGGAATTTCCTAGTGCCCACAAACAAGGTCCGAATATACAACTGTTTGCAAGCAACTCACCAATTTTGTGCCACAAATACGGTGAGACACGGACAAGGCTGCAGCCCTGCAGGGATGCCTGCATTTTGAAAAGACTCTCTCTCCCCCTCTGCATCCCAGCTCTTTCCAATCCCGAGTGTCGCGCCGCACAAACAAGCAGCGACATGAGTAAGCCGAACTCCACAAGACCTGTGCGCAAATCGCAAACTCCCCAAACTCGTCTCCCTTGACACCAGATTTTGTGAGAGCGGCCTCTAGAGCGGGAGCGGCTGCCATTGTTCTCCGTGTTGTCCAAGCCTACACGGCACCACTCACGAATCACGCAAAGAACCTCAATTGTGCCTTGTCTCTCTGTCCAGTCTCTGTCTCCATTTCCCTCACTCACTAGTTGAAGCAATTTGACACATCTAATTGAGCCTCTGGGAAGGGGAAAACAAGAGACGTTCACTTCGACACGTCTCATGGTTTTCATTTTCATCTATATAAAACCTGCCCAAGCAAACTAATCGAAATCTGCTTGGACCACAAACCGTGGCAGTACAGACGAAGACATTTCATGAATATGGCCAAAAAAATTTGTTCAAGCTTTCAATACCTCCGTTTAAGGTCGATGTGCTAAAATTGTCATGCATTGCGCTTGTGAAGAACATTAAAAAACTGCACTCACCTCCCCTCAGCCTTCCGCTACTGCTCCCAACACTGGCCTAGTCCAACCTGCAAGCCAAAAAGTGCTAGCCTGGCAGCAAATCGCTTTGTTTTGCTTTGTATTATGCAACTCAACCAGGCTCCAACAAAAAACGTGTGCAAGACAAGCAGGATGCACAGTAGGGTTACCGGGGCACCTTGCAGAAGCAGGCAATAAATGCATCAAAGAACATCGTTGGCTAGGCAGCCAGCCACTTCTGCTAGATCCACTGTGGCCTGAAACGTTCAATTGCAGCAGGTTCATATTTTGCAAAATAAGAAAATAAGCCATGTGCCAGTGCAGAAAGCAGAAGGAGCTTCAAAGTCCGCATATCCATGAACTTTGCTCACCTCTCCTGTCGTTGCAGTCGTCCAGGCTGGAGCTGAGCAATCAGAGTAATGAGTAATCTGTCCGATTTCTTGCTATATATCTTTGGCTACCCCAACCTAGTTGGGATTGGAATGACGGTTGATTCCAGCAGATAGGTATCCTTTGAAACTCTACTGTAGGTTGATCAGCTGAGACGAAACAAACTTGCCAATGTTTAGAGGTGCAGTGCCCGCTTAGTGGCATGCACACACCCCAGGACAAAAGCCGAAGGAACCCAGGCGCTGATTGCATACAGCATCCTTGTTGATCCATCCCCATGACTCGTCAATCAAAAGAATATATTACAGTAGTGCATAGAGAGCGGCGCAAATGAATCCCCAGACCTGTCTGCCAAACTGTTGAGCTAGAGTACAAGGCTTGAACCTATACTCCTGAAAAGGAAAAACATAGAATAACAAAAAAAAGCGAAAGATTACAAGTGTTCTTTGCATTCGTACGATCTATATAATGATCTGCATCTCAGTTTCTAGTGGGACAGCACACGGGTGTATCAGTTTTTTTGTGCTACGTTCAATCTTGGTTCAGGCATTGATTTTTCCAATTCTTGCCAGTTATCTAGCTGAAATCTGAAGTGTGAGCCTGTCTTATATATTGCATTGTAAGGTTTCCAGATTGCAGGGTAACGCCTCCCTCCCAAATGTCACTCCTCCCGCTTCAGCAGATAGCTCGAATACACACCGTGCACTGTCATCACAGCACCTGAGCTTTGCTGATGTTTCTTTGTTTGTTTTCTTTGTTGGTATTTCTTTATTGCAGTAGAGACCCAAGATTGCGTTGCATCTCCTTCTCCAAAAAATACAGCCGACAAGATATTAAAGTCTGTTTGTAACTGGGCTGCAGACTCAACATTGCATGCATCTAAATACTTCTCGCAAGAGGTTCTGCCTTGCATGTCAAAGACCAATTTGGTTGGCACAACAAGCAGGGGTAAGGGATCAAAATAAAAATAAAAATAGAATCAAAAAAAATATTCAACGGGGATCAATTTAAAAAAAAGGTAATCAAAAAAATATCTTCTAGCCCACTGGGGATGGTTGGGGTAGTAGTAGTAGTAGTAGTAGTAGTAGCAGTAGCAGTAGCAGTAGCAGCAGCAGCAGCAGGAGGAGTAGGAGTAGTAGTAGCAGCAACAGCAGCAGGAGGAGTAGTAGTAGTGGTAGCAGTAGCAGTAGTCACGGCGTTCACACGAAGTTAGGCCCTACATGGCGTTGTCAGAGCGCTCAGAGCAGAGAAGTGTTTGGAATGGGTGTAGCAGCATCGGAAGGTGCCTGGATGGGAATCTCCTCAGGAAAAAGATGTGGTGGACCAGTCTATTTCTAATGGGTGCATTGCGGTCGCAGCCGTACAGGGTCTTTTTCACCAAGCTGGTGAACCATTTTTCGAGTAGGGCTACTCAATGACTGGACGGCTACCTTATCGTTGGGTACCTACTTTCTTCCCAGGGAGCTGCCTCTAGTAGAAAGCAATCAAGAATCAAGCCTCTATTTGCGCAAGCAGGGGACCAGGAGATCGACAGACGAGCGCCATAGGAGAGCAAAAGACCAGCGGACCAGGAGACAGAAGGACTAGGATACCAGGGGACCAGCGGACCACAGGACCAGAGGACCAGGAGACCGGAGGACTAGGGGACCAGTGGACTAAAGGACCAAGGGACCAGGGGACCAAAGGACCAGTGGACCAGAGGACCAAGGGACCAAAGGACCAAGGGACCACATTACCAGAGGACCCGCAGACCAAAAGGCCAGGAGAGCAGCAGAAGAGGCCTATCAAGGAATATATTTTTGTTGATTCGCTTTTTATTTTTTTTTGATCCTGTTTTTTTTTGGATGCTCTTTTTATTTTTTTTTGATACCTATGCCAACAAGCAGCCGTCTAAACTCAGGCATTAGATCTAGGCAATTAGTCAATCATACAATGCAAGTGTTGCTGCACAGTCTATTTTGCCGAGGGGCAAGGCTTCAGGTATGGTATCTGTGATCCAGCCTTGCAGCTTCCCTGGAGCAATACTCTTTCGTCCGCATCAATGCAAACAGTCAACTTCTTCTTGAATCAATGCCATGGTGTCCTGGTTTCGAGGGAAGTATGTCATGCAAACCAGCTCGTAGATGCGAGAGACCTGATACACAATCCCACATTCTGGAGCCTACAGCCCTACAGCAAGCCAGAGTAAGTACAACAGAATTAAGATGTTCACGCAAGGTTCATCATCTATTCTTTCCTGCTCCTTGAAGTCCCATGCCTTTTACACATCAGACGGTCAAACAAAGTCTTGTATTGGCGAAAGTGTTATTCAGATGTCAGCTCCAAAACACACAACTTCAAGGTGATTCAATTACTGTCTGTGCAAAATGCGAGCACCTCATAACCAAGTCCACTAAGGTGATACACGAACGTCGTTGATGCCTCGATACTGCAAAATCTGAGAATGGCAAATCATCCAATCAAAGTCTGGTTCAAGCAAGCCTGTGAGCTACTGGAGGGACCAACTGGGCACAAAGCTGCTTCATCTTGAGCTCGAGTAATTGTGTCCAGTGCCTGCCCACAGGAATTGTGCTCACTGCTCACTCCAAGTCTCCTTGATGTCCAGACATTCCACCCGTCCCTCCATCCCCCTTCCCAGGGGCTCACCACGCTGGAATTTGCAGGTGACGGAATTGCAGGATCGTAGTCAACTGCCGCCTTAAAGAACATGGTTTACAGAGCTTGGCACAACGTTGTCTTGAGAAGTCTGTAAAAGAAAACAAATTTGGGCTGTGCTTCACGCCTTGCAGAATTGCAAATACTTTTGCACTTCCCCAGGCTGAGAGCATTGCCACACCTTATTCAGTGTTGGGGCGATAAAGAAACCATGCTCTGACAAAATCAGGTGCACCTGAAAGCAAGTGCAAGCTTCCGCGCAAAACCAGGAACCAACTTGTGTGCTAGCCACTCTAGCCTGATTAGTTGTGAAGCTTTGTGCACACTTGCATGCGACAGGGTTTGTCTCGCTAGGTGTACCGAGCCTTTCAGCCTTTCTTGTATCTGCAGGGTAACTTCGGTCCTTTTCTAGAAAGTGAAACTGGACAACGCACAAAAATGTCACTAGAATTTGCTTGCAAATGGCTCTCCTTGAGATTGTACCTATTGCGCACAAGCTCTTTTCTGCGCGCTCATCCAAGAAGTATGTATGTTGACTACTTGCACTCTGACACCCCAGCTTATTGCAATTGGTATGTCCACTATGAAAATACCTTGTGAAATAGTCGCGCAATACATTAATACAATTATGTACGAGTATATTATTGACTATACAAATCCTCCGGGAAAAGCCGATTGGTCCATGGTCGCTGAGCTCAATCAATGGAGTTCAAGAAAGCCGCAGCAGTTAGGAGGGCCATACACATTGTGACAGTCTTGCGCGCACCATGACATCACACGGGTCTACAAATTGTAGTCTTGTACACATGCACGTTGGTCGATGCTCTTCAGAGGAGTACCAAGAACTGCTCTTTGCATGAAAACACCAGTTGCAACAAAGCAAAAATGCTCGCGACAAGACGGATTGGAAACCTGTTGAAAATATATGGAAAAGAAGGTTGAAGATCTGATAGAGTCTGATCGGGAAATCAAACCAGAAACCACTTCTAATTTTCATCCACCTCTCTGGGCTTCCCGCTAGACCAGAGAGGCGAGGCAAGTCGTATAGACCAGGAGTCAATGGATTGACACACCTGAAGAATCCGGCATAGAGATGAATCGATGTGTCCAAAGGTGGGGGGGGGGTAGGCCGCTAGAGGCAGTAGAGGTAGGTAGCTAGGAGGAGAGGTAGCTACTGCCTGCAAGTAAGCTACTAGTATGGACGCAGGATAGTTCACGCTTCTTCAAGGAAGACCCCCCCATCACCCTAACGGCGGCGGGGGAAACTTCCTTGAAGAAGCGCTCGCACAAATGATTAGGTTTCTAGATTCTCAGAGACACTTAATTCACACACACTTATGATTTGGTGTACGGAACTGAATGCCACATGCCACACGCCAGCCTAAGAAACCAACTCCTGAAAAGTCCAGGAGAACCCTATGGAGCCTGGAGGTCTTCAAAAGGAGAAAGGGCCAAAAGCTCAAGACCGAAAGCGACGAGCAGGTCGAGATGACGTCGTACGCTCATGTCTGCCAAGCTCATTAGCACTTTACTGGAAATTGGAGTCAAAGCTTGTTCAAAAGTTCAAACAGCAGGTACGTGCAGCTGATCAGGCTGCATATCCTGAGGTCACCATAGAGAGCTTCGTTGGGCACAGCTCTATGGGCCTCCTGTGCCCTATACGTCCGTACCTCCAATTCCCCTTCTCAAACAATTCAAAAAGAATCCCTGTGACTACAAGGGGCACACACACACACACACGCCTCCCCAAGCGAGGCTGCTCTTACCTAGTAGCGTCCTTGCACCTAGTAGTAAGGAGCTTTTAGTAGCGTCCCATTCTAAGGTCCTGACAGGAGGGAGGGGTAGGGAAAGGAGAGAAGAAAGATTGAAGAAAGGAAAGAAAAAAACAGCTACGGCACAAGCGTCCAAGGACACACCAAGAGAAGAAGAGAAGGGTTCCCAGCTATGACGAAAGCATCCAGGGACACCCAAAAGAAGAAGGAAGAGGGAAGAAGGAGAGAGGAAAAAGACCGAAAACAGGTGTTCCCAGCTACGCGCAAGCGTCCAGGGACACACCAAGGAGAGGGGCACACCTGAGTGTTACATTCAGGAATACCCCGAAAAAGGAAGAGAGAAGAAGGGGAGGGGAGGGGGAGGAAGGGGACTAAGGTCGCGACAGGTACCGCTGTGGTCACCTTGTGCCCTGCCAAAGTGGCTGGCTGCTTTGACCGCTGCGGTCACGTAACGGCGTGAGCCAGCTTGGAGTTCCCAACATGAGACAAGAGTCTTGGCAAATAACTTTGGCAGAAAGCCTCCTACGCTCGCTGCGAGCTACTCTGGTCCCGGGCACAGGGACGAAGACAAAACCCCGTTCGACGGGTCCACGGAAGGCACTCTGCGGGCTCATCCCGGGCTCTCACTAGGAGAGACACACTTATGATTTGGTGTACGGAACTGAATGCCACATGCCACACGCCAGCCTAAGAAACCAACTCCTGAAAAGTCCAGGAGAACCCTATGGAGCCTGGAGGTCTTCAAAAGGAGAAAGGGCCAAAAGCTCAAGACCGAAAGCGACGAGCAGGTCGAGATGACGTCGTACGCTCATGTCTGCCAAGCTCATTAGCACTTTACTGGAAATTGGAGTCAAAGCTTGTTCAAAAGTTCAAACAGCAGGTACGTGCAGCTGATCAGGCTGCATATCCTGAGGTCACCATAGAGAGCTTCTTTGGGCACAGCTCTATGGGCCTCCTGTGCCCTATACGTCCGTACCTCCAATTCCCCTTCTCAAACAATTCAAAAAGAATCCCTGTGACTACAAGGGCACACACACACACCACACACACACACACACCCCTGGCCCCTCAGGCTGTAGCTTGTTCTTTATGCACACTGGGTTGTTGGTGTAAGCAGGTTCGCCTTCGAAGGCAACGCACACTCAATGGAGCAAGAATTTCAGAAGGAATGGACATCACAAAGTCACCTTTGAGAGGAACTAGGAAAATCATTCCGTTCAGTCCCAAAAGAATGCAGAGACTGCCTGCATAACACAGACTAGCACAGGCATCATACAAACTTGGCTTGCCTCCTTGGGAGGTTGAGCTCAAATGCACCTACACATTGCAGTCTCAACATGGAGTCTACAAGTCTAAAGAGTCTACATCCAAACGCTGAATTGTCAAGGTCATGCCTGAGCACCAGAGGCCGAACCAGCTATGAGCAACACAGCTGTGAACATCTCTGGCCGTACCTCGGCAACCCAGCTGTGCGCTTCTTCTTTCCAGAGCCCTCTCTACAGCAAATGCAGCAAACCAGCCTGGAAAATCCCGAGTCCTGATCCTGACCGATTCACAACTCATTGCGTAGCAAGCACAAGTCAGTTGGCTGTCAAAAAAAAACAAAAAAGAAACCAGAATCAGATTGATCTGAATGTTGGGTCAAGCTTGGGCACGTGCACTCGTTATTTCGAGCTTTCTGGAAGGTGTCAAGAAAGTTCACCTTTCAAGAATGAAAGCCGCAAAAGCCGTATACAACATCAGCTGAAGGTCATAGTCAGTTGCCATCCAAGAGACTATCTGGGCAAGAGGCCGTCAGCCTCTATGGAGAAAGGTCTACTCCCAATTAACCAGCCAAAAGTGGCTGCGGGAACACGCTATTTGTCCATCCTGGAACAAGAATGCCACAGACTGCCATAGATTCAAGCACACACAAAACAAACTCTGCAAGCACTCGACCTTGCCACCCTTGCCTTTGCCTTCTATTGGCATGCCCTGCGGAAAGCCATTGCAAGCTCACACATCTTTGTACTGGACATCTTTCCAATTCCTTACAGACTTCAACACACGACAAGTATGTGTCTCATGTTCAGTCAAAGAAAACCCATCTTCCTCCTGGCATGTAGAGTCTGCTGTCTCTAGAGAAATTGACCAGTCGAAAGGGGCCTTCTTCCCTTTGGCTGAGTCAAGACCCTGTTCAGTCAAAGAATAAATTGTGCAAAAAAAAGAAAACATGATGAAGCATCCAGGCTGTGGCACAAGTCCAGTCACAAAAAGTCTGTGGCCTTCGCAGACTTGCCCTTCTCCAGCTCCTTGCCTGAGTGTCTTCATAAGTGATCTTGCGATTCACTAAACTGCAAACAATCCAGCTCGTGCCGTGGCGTGCCTTTCCCCTTGCCCCCTTTCTCTTCACCCTTTCCCATCTTTCCTTTCCCTCGCAGCATGCAGAAACTTGATGCCTGTCACACAAAACCATCTGATGGTTCTCTCACTCATCACGTGCCTTTCTCAGGACTTTTACCATAGCCACCTCCACAAATAAACAACAAGGCAAAAGCATCTTGAAAGTAAAAAACATACCGCTTAAAGCCCTGAAATGTCGTAGAATGCACCTTTGTCGTACCTGTCATAGCCCTTTTCGTAGCCTTTGTCCTTGCCGAAACGTAGTTACAGCTGGATATGCATTGGGCACGTGCCCGTCAGGTTCTTGGGAAGGTGCAAAAGTGTTATCGTTAAGTGGATAAGCGCACCACGTAGCTTTTCTCGTAGCCTTTCTCGTAGCCCTTGTCCCATCCCCTTCCTGCAGGCGCAGTGGGTGACAATTTGACACATGAAGTGTTTGTGCTAGCCAAAGGTCCTGATCCAGCACCTTTGTCACCTTTTCCCCAGCTTGGGGCTTGTGCTCCATACCTTGATCCCCGACACACAGGCCAACAAAGAAGCATCTAATAGTTTGACTTTGCAAGTCTGAGTTACAATGACTTTGCAAAAACTCTCAGCCTGGGGCCAAAAGTTCTCCGCTGGAGCTGGTCGGGCACTTTTCCTCTGACCTTTCGATGGTGCACCCCAGCCTCAGTATATACTATAAGTTCGTATCGGCTGAAATGAAATGTGTCAGCCAGCAATTCAGCAAAGGTTGCAACTTTCGTTGTTGCCTCCATATGCAAAAGTGCCTTTGGACGCAGCCTGTGCACAGGACTTGCTGGAGTTGAGAACTGGCATGAGAATGATGGGCCTTTCCCATTGAGCCATCCATTCCAGGGCCACCAGCAGGTTTCTTCATGGACCTTGGGACTTCTACATGTGAGCTGGATGTCGTTTCATTTTGGCACATTCTCTGCATCTCCTGAGGTCTGCTCATGATGGCTGGATCATTCAAATGAGGTGAGGCACCTTGGCCTCCACCACCTCAGGGGCTTGGTACATGCATTTTTCTGCGCAGGCTGCTGAACTGGAGCTCTGGGGCCCTGGCTGCCTTCCAGAACAGTCAGGTCCTTGATGTCCTGGACGACCAAAGCAGGGACCATCAGGCAGGGACATTTTTTTGGAGCAACACAGGTTCAGCTGAGCCGCTCTGTAAACCGCCCTATTCATGTTTATATAGTGGCTGGCTTGTCACATGAATGCTTCGCGTAAGCAATACCTGGGTGTGCGTCGAGTTGCGTAAGTTTTTTTGGGGAGATAGGAGTTGCGCGAGCTGCGTAAACAAACCCGACTTTGACATACATGTCAGATTTACAATAGACATGGTCAGGAAACTTCATATACCATTGAAACATGCAGGGTGTGTTTCCACCAAGCTACTTCAACGTCCCTAGAATAGGTACTCGAACAAAACGCAAGACATTCGCCAAAGCATTTACGAACTCTTTGCTGCTCACCGCCCAGCCGCCGCGGATGCCACATGTCCTGCCCCCGGAAGATGATGAAGTCATAGATCTCACTCGATGGTGGGATCTCTGGGACCTCAAATGGCCAAAAACAAGAAAGCGTGTTGCACATGGTTTGCCTGAGCTTAGGAAGCGCACTTTTCTACCTTCCGTGCCGAACGAGCGAACTGACCTCGTGCAAGCGCTGTGAAATATGTTTGAATCCCACCAACCCTATTTATGCCGATCTATATCGAAACTTCCAACATTTGTTTGTGACCTTACAGAAGAAACCACGAGCAACTGCAAGCAACTGCAAGTAATCAGGGAAGAGGCTGCAAGGCTATTGTGGACTCCTGCGTGTTGATGGTGTACAGGATTCCCTCACAGATTTGCTTGATAGTTCCGGAAAACAGCGAAGTCATGCAGTGAAGGCAAAAGGCAGACTGGATGCCTCGTATCGGATGTTCGAATTTGAGATCAAACTGATCTTGCTGCCAATGTACCTGGTCCAAACAATGTTGAACGGAAAACCGACACCAACTGTGCAGAGAGGTTGCGGAATTGTGCTGGTCGCCATGGGGCCTGCGAATCTGCAGCTGGTCCTCCAAAGGAAGTGCCACAATGCAAGAAGTGCAAAAACTGAACAACAAAAATATATTACTGTCCTGGAAATTGGGGGGCCTTCAATGTGGGCTTCGCCCGCCCCCCTCCAGCTGCACTTTTGAGCTAGTCCACGCAAGCAATGAAAACCGCTGACTTCTATGTAAGCACTGAAATTGTTTGAGTCACACAAGTGCAATAAGTACAAAAAACACAAAATAAAAGTCACTTTACAAGTTCCAGCCAGGATGATCAATCAGTTCGATCTTCGCAACTTCATACACCCATCGGCAGTGCCATTTTAGGTTTCACACATAGCAGTTGAAGACAGCGAACTGCACACAGTAATGCCAAGCTGTGCCAAAGAATCTGAAACACAAACACCTACAGGACCTAGACAACGTTTCCCATGCGCACGTCTCAAAACCGTTGAAATACATGATTACATGTGTGCAAGTTTCCAATATGCACACAAGAAGCATCGAATAGTAAGGCAGGTTTGGAAACCAAAAACACACGCAACCGAAAAATCAGGGAAAATGTTGATAGTTTGCTAAGCAAGGGATTGGATTTTTCTTCAAATTTGGCACTGAAATGTACGATTCTGCGTGAGCGGGTGACCTCATTGTACATTCTGACCGGCCCCTCCGCTGATGCCTAATTGACATTTTCCTTCCATGTTGGAAAAATGCGCAAACCTCTTCAAAGTGCAAGGCACATTCATCTGGTGCCAACCTGCGCCTCAGGCTCTGCTCAATCAACTTCTGTCCATGGCGATCTGCAGCAAGAACTGTTTTAAATTTATGTCCCGCTGTTTCCTCACCTGTCGACTGTCGACTTTCATTCTCCGATTCCCCTGCATGCAACTCCAAGCGGCATATCGCTTGAAACGCATTCTCTTCACACCTTGTCAAAGCATGGGCGTCAACCCAAAACAACAAACTCAGGTTCCTCCTTCCTTCAACACTTCTTGATGTTTTTGATCGCTCCCTTGATGATGCGCACAAGGCGCCGCACCCACTGCACCAAGTTCAAGGCCCCGCAAAGTGCACAAATGCCAAAAAATTATCCACTGCCATCCATGATCATCCTCACTCTCCTTCTCAACCTCTCTCTTGTTCTCTGCGGCCTTGTCCACATTTGCCATGAGGAAAAGCAGTTCCACATGCAAGTTTTCTGCTTTTCATGGCCTTTTTGGGACCTTTCTTCGTCTGTTCTTTGTGTTCAATTTCAGGGTTCTCTTCTTTTCCATCTCGATCTTTTCCATGGTTTGCGGTCTTACATATGCCAATCGTCTCTTAGCATTGCCGAGCAATGCAATTCCAAGCATTTCCAAGCTCCCATGGGACCAGGACCCTTGGACAGTTTCTTCTGTCCATGTGTCGTTTGTTTCGTTTGCATGAGGGCCACCTTCAAGCAAGAAATCGGGTCTTCTGGTTCACCAGCGCATTCAGTCTCCATGTTCCACTGACAGCATAAAACCAAGACCAATGGCAGGTGAAGAAAAATGTTTAAAAACCTGGAAACAAACCCCAAACAGAACCCAAAAACACCACCACACAGACTCCCAGCCAATGTAGGCAGTGTTTCCTCAGGTGAGACAGGTGAAAACGACAAACTGCAAGATATCTACGGGCCTGAATTCCCTACGAAAAGCGACATGTGCCTGAATGCAGGTGATTGCTCTGTTCGGCCAATCAAAGTGGCCTCGCACCGTTGGCAAGGATGAGGTCATCCAAGCCGTTCGTGGGTGGGCACTCGAAACCTTGTGGCATCAAACGAGGTGACGAGGGCAAAGGCAGCCGTTGGCAGATGACAAATGCCAAAGAGTCATCAGTTGCGAAGCATGGCAAGCCGTGGAAAATTCCCTCTCGAAAAAATTCCATGTCGGGATGTCCACCTCGCTCGATGCTTGCAGTTTGCGATGCATAAATTTCGTTTAAGTTTGTCTGTGAAAGATTTGGAACCTGGCGGTAGTACAACATTTTGTT